GCTGCGAGCGCTGTCTAATTTCCTGTGCATTGTCCCCGCTGCCCGCCCCCCCTCCCCCGCTGCGCCGGTCCCGTGCGGCACCTCCCGCCGGCCCTGCTCCCCGCGCGACACCTCCTGATTTAGCATCCACGGCTAATTGCATTAGCACCTTCCACTCCCTCCTGCCACGGCTCAGCCGGCCCGGGCCCCCGCCACGTGCCCACACCCCACCTGTCTGCTGCATGCCAGCCTCTGCAGGCCTGCACAGCTGGGGGGAAATCGCACCGGAGCGGCCAGGGCCCCCATGGGCTGGGGCAGGGCTGCCTGGCACGGGAGCTCCGTGAGGGGGGGCTAGGGATTGAGCCCCTGCCCTGCCTGCGGTCCTTGGGCCGTGCTGGGGCCATGGAGGGCTGCAGCCTGCCCGATGCAGCAGGCGGTAGCCTGGCCGCTGCATGCACAGCTGGGCCAGGGGGCCAGGCCCTGTGCCAGGAATGGGGTTGGAGGAAAGCCGTGGCCTCTTGGGCTGGCTGCTCAGGGGGCAGCGACTGCCTAGAGGCTGGCAAGGGACGGGGGTGTGACTGAGAGTGTGACATCCATGCACATGTCCCATGTGCATGCCTAGGTGCACACACGCTTGCAGGGGGCATGTGCACATGTATGTGTTTGCACATGCATGCAGGTGGCTGTGCAGGCCCATGTGGGAGCGCTTGTACACGCACGTGTGTATTTGCACAGGGGGTTGTGCAGGCCCGCGGAGGGGCTTGTACATTCACATGCGTGTGCGTTTGCACAGGCATGCAGGTGACTGTGAAAGCCCACGTGGGGGGCTTGTACACGCACACGCATGTCTGTGTGCACACCCGCTGGGGCAGTACGTGCCGTCTCCCAAGGCTGCAGTGAGCTGAGCTGAGCTGAGCTGAGCAGAGCGGGCCTGGGCCCCGGGGAGCGTCACCGGCCCATTCACAGTCTCGGCATGCTCGGCCGGCTTCCTGCCTGCATTTGTTTTCTTCCCTGCCTGTTGCGTGGGGAGGGGGCGCGGGGAGCTGGCTGCATGAGCCAGGGCTGCTAGCTGCCAAGCTGGTTGCTAAATTGGGGTGCAACGTCCCACTGTGGTGCTAACGGCGCAGCAGGGAGTGGCGGGCAGGGCAGGGGGGATGCACTGCAGCTTCATGGAGGAGAACAAGTGCCGGGCTCCCACGCAGCCGGGGGGCCCTGGGCAGCCAGGGACAGCAAGTGTGACCGTGCCCTGGGGCCCGCACAGCTGAGCACAGGTGCATGTGAGCGTGAGTGTGTGCTCACGTGTGTGCATGCCCGCATGCGTGTGGGCTAGCCCCCAGCCCAGCCCTGCGGCGCTGCGTGGCCCCGGCTGTGCATCCAGGCTGCTGCACGCAGCCAGCCCACACCACGAGCCGCGGCTGGCCCCACCAGATGCACCCCCTCCCCTGCGGCCCCGTGACGCGGCCTTGCTGGGCGAGGGTGCAGCCAGTGCCACGGCCCAGCCCCTGGATGGGAGATGCCCTGAGGCCTTGCGCAGCCCCAGGGCAGAGGCCAGTGCCCCAGAGAGCAGCAACGCCCAGCCGGCCATTCCCGGAGCCGGGAGGTGGGGTCAGACTTGGAGCCCACCCGCCCGCCGCCAGGGGCCAGAGGGGCCAGGGCATCTGCCCCTGCAGGAAACACCCCCACCTGGCCCCCTCCCCATCACCAGTCTCACCACACCGGACCTGTCCAGCACCATTCAATGGCACCGGGCCCAGCACAGCAGGATCCCAGGCCTGGAGATCCCAGGCACAGGGTCTTGGCAGGACGGAGGGCCCAGGGTGGGGGCAGCTGCCCTCAGGGAACCGAGGCCTGGGGAGGCCGCAGCAGCCAGCGGCTCTCCTGCGTCTGCCACCGCAGGGCGGGCCGGCCCCGATCCTGGCAGGGCCGGCAGCTCCGAGCCAGCGCGGCCGGGACGGGCTGGGCAGAGCGGTGCCAGAGGACGCGGCCTCCAGGGAGGGAGATGCCACCCGCGCTGCCGCTGGGGGCTGGATCCGGGCCGCAGCCAGGGTCCGCCTGGGCCAGCGGGACGGGCTGAGAAGTCCCGGCCCCGACTCTGCCCACGCGGGGCGGCCCTGGCGCTGCGGGCGAGCACCCCCCGGCCGT